AAGGAGATTTGAGATAAGCTCTAAGTCACTCATGAAGGAATCGATGAAGTGATGGAAACAAAAATCGGTCTTTTCAACCATAACTATTAAAATTTCAAGATAAAAAAGGATGAAGACATCAAAGCTATGATAAATAGATTTTCCATGATTATCAATGGTCTCAAGCGATATGAAGAAATCATCTTTAATAAGAAGTTTATAAGGAAGAGGGTATACTTTCCTACAAATTCTTGGCAACCGAAGAAGATAATGATACTTAAAAAAAACCTAAAATCTCTCACCCTAATGAGCTTATTGATTCCATTCTCACTCATGAGTTGATGGTGAAGGAGAAAGAACAAGAAGAAGTTAAGAAATAGGAAAAGAAATAAAAATGTGTCAAATCCTCTAGTCAAAGTGAGAACACCTTAAGTGAATAAGAGAAAAAAGAAGAATACGAGATAGTCAAGTTCTTTAAAAGATTCAAACGATTCATGACATCAAAAGAGAAAGATGTGAATCATGAATCGAATAAAAAAAAGGTCCCCTAGTGTACTTCGAATGCCAAAGAACGGGACATGTCAAGTATGATAGCCCTCTTATAAAAAAAGGAATCAAGCAAAAAAAGAGCACTTTTGTGGCTACTTGAAGTGATGAAGATAACTCTAATGATGATGATGAAGTAGTCAACCTATATCTCACAGCCATCGAAGAAGATTCAATGGTAACTTCTAACTCTAGTGAATTAAATTGTTATTCTTTTAAAAAGTTACAAGATTTTTATGATGAATTGTATTTGGAATTTGAGACCATGAATTTCAAATATAATAAAATGATTTTTAAATTCAAAAATGAAAAAGAATTTTATTTTGAAAGCAAAATTGAATTTTGAAAAACAAAATGAAGTTTTAAGAAAAGATTTTTAGCTTTCAAAAATCAAATTTGGAAATTTGGAAAAAAATATTGATTTAAAGGTTTAGCTTGAATGTTTAACAAAAGAAAAAAAAATCATTTCAAGCAATTCATATGGTTTAATAATGACAAAATGCTCACATTGTCATTATCATGGTCATATTCTACATACTTGTCCTATTAAAAATATAAAACCTTTTAAAAATAGACAAATATGATTTTCAACGGAGCTAGAGATATTGGTGCTAACCCTCAAGGACCCAGAGCAATTTGGGTACCAAAATCCAAATAAATGTCTCTTGGAGGCAGTGATGGACTCATGATTTTATGTTAGGGATGACGAACTTGAACTTTTAAAGTTCTAGGGGCGAACTTGAACTTATAAAATTCCAGGGGCAAAATAAAAAATTTAAACAAAAAATACATAGAAAAAATCTAAAAAATATGGTAATTTTAAATTTTCAAGGGGCGACTGCCCTACCCGTCCCTCGTCGGTCCATCCTTGCTTGTATGTGTGTTGGAACAATGGTGATTAAAGTAAAGAAATTCAAATGCTCTAGTCACACAAAAAGAAAAGAAATTCAAATAACGATAAACACAACACGATCGAAGACATAAATGTAAACTGTAACTTAAAGCCCTGAGTAGGGGCCATTTTTTTTTGTTTGCCCGGGGCCCAAAAAATCTCATAAACGAACCTATTTATTGAATATCATGTGTTACTACCATGTTTGTTCATCTTTGTTGAAATTTAATATCATTTAAGTGTTAAAGTGTTTGTGTAAACTTTTTTCACATAATGCTTTTATGGTGGGGGATCTATGATTTTTGAAATTATTTTATGCTAAAAATTTTAACTTACTCTCCTTTTATTTTGAACCATAAAGTGAATTATTTTTATATAATAAAAAGGGGAGAATTTTAGATTTGAAAAATTCAAATTAAAAAATAAAACTTGAAATATTTTCTGTTTTTCAACAAATGTTTTTATTAAGGGAAGCTTAACGAAAAACCATTTTTCAAAGGTTTTTTATATCAAAAAGGGGAGATTGATGAACCTATATTTTGATATAATAAATTAGAGAAAAATGATTTTAGAATTGATTGAATTTGTTCAAAGTTTTCAAAAATATTTCAAAGTCAATAAAACTAGAATTTGAACAAAAAATGTTTTCCTGGGTACATAGTACGATATTGTTCTTACAGTATCGATACTACACGAATAGTACCAATATTGTTCTTGTAGTACCGATGCGAATGGTAAGAGAAGTATCGATACTCTCATAGTAGTATCCATATTATCTATTGATTTCAAAGTGTTTCAAATTCCAGATTGCAAAATTGAAAATGATATTATAGGGGTATCGATACTGGTCAAATCCAATGTTCATTAACACCTAGTTTATTTAAATATTATAAAGGAGTACCGATACTTCGAAAGGTAATATATATTCCCTATTCTATAAGTCCCCAACAGCTCCAAAATATCCTCAACGGCTAGAAAAATCCAAAAACATATTCCAACTTATAAAAACAAGTTAATGACACCTATCCAAACAATCAAAATCAAGAGAAAAGTCTTTCTCTCTTTATTTTCCTTTTTCTCTTGTACATTAGTGTTTGAGTTAATTGCATATCTTTTAATTGTTTTTCTTGTGAACTTAAATCTTATAACCTTGTGAGATTTTCTTGTTTATATATGTTATCGTTTTGTAAAAGGAGAATGATTTTATCTTAATCTTTGAAAAGATAAGGGTTTGTAAAGGTTATTTTTTAGCTTAGAAAAAAAGAATAAATTAGTGAATTTATTAGAAAAACGAAGAACAAAATTGAATGTGTGTATTTTTTTTATTTGCTTTTATATGATCACAAGGGTCATTATGTACAATACTTATGAGATTTAAGATAATTTTTGCACTCCAATTTTTATAATTATTTGATTTATTTATTAAATAATTGGGATTTTTTTGTAACTCACACACAAGAATAAATACTGTCATAAACATACATATCACGACATGGATTTAGTGATGAACGCCTATAGCTAATAAATCAAAAATTAATATTTGTTTAAATTATTGTGAATATTATTTTTTTAGATAGATTACAATAGTTAAAAATTAATATTATAATAGTATAACATCTTCCAAAACATCGTAAAACGCCTTTTAGAAAAAGTAATATATATAATAGTTAAAAAGTAATATATAATAGTAATATATATAATAGTTAAAAAGTAATATATATAATATTAATATATATAAAACTTAATATTATTATTTAAAAAAATAATATTAAGTTTTATGATAAATTATATTATTTATTGTATTTAATATGTGTAATAAATAATTTTTAAAAAATCTATCAACTAGTAAAAAAATGGTTTAAATAACATATTCCAAACATCATAAAACGTCTTTCGAAAAATATTTTTCAAAAAATGTAATTCATTTTACGAAAAATATTTTTCGAAAAACATTTTCAGTAAAACAATAGGACCCTTAATGAATTCTAGTTGAGGTTTATATATATATATATATATATATAAAAGTTTTTGAACAAGGCTTGCTATGCAGTGATTTGTGTGTAATTTCGTGATGTCCCGTAAACACCCTATGTACCTACCCACTAAGGATGGATAAAATGTGCGGTCGCATCATTTAAAAATTTTAAGTTATTTTATATTTTAGATATTTTTTTAATTTTTATGTAAATTATTTATTTTTGCACTTAAATTTTATAACCTTACACTCCTAAAATTTTAATATAATTTTTTTTTATATTTGTACATATGACATAAATTTCTACGTCTGTTCATGCTACAAGTATGGTTTTTAATATTCTCATTTAAATAATAGAACTTTGCCTAGATTTTTTTTTACAGTAGGATAAATATATTACGACCTTAACACGTTGGTACATGAGAAACAACGATGGAAGCGATCAGCTCTTAATTTAACCTTGATGAAATTCTCACTTTGTTGATTTCATTATTCTTTTGCTAATTTAATCACTAAACTCTCGTTTTATTTATCGTCGTAGTCTTTAACATTCTGAGTTAAAATTTCTTATAATGCGCGTCTGTCACACGGGCTACAAATCCATTATGCCATTTTATTTGAAAAGACATGACCATTGTTTTGAAACCAAACAAGATAATCTGGTTTGAATGGGTATTGGAACGGGATCTTTGCTTATAAATTTCATGTGATGGTGCAGATGGAACAAAATCTATAAACGGACTGAACGAACATTAACTCGAATATATTCATGTTTATAAATTCGTTTAATTTTAATTAAATAAACAAATGAATATAAATAACTAAACAAACACAAATTTTTATTCGTGTTCGTTAAAAAATATATTTTTTTCTTATTCATAATCAACTAAATAATGAAAAGTGGCAGCATGCTACATATTTATAAGTTTCAGCGCTTTGTAGACTCTCATCATGAGGGTGCTTAATGAATTGAGTAGTTCGTGAGTAGTTTGAACTCTGTTCGGTTAAAACTCGATAAAAATTTGATTTTGGTTGATTTGATCTTAGCTTGAGTTTGACTCAAGATCTTAACGAGACTCGATAAGTTCGTGAGCAGCTCGTTAAATTTTTTTTATCTATATTTTTTAATAATTATCATTAAAAAACTATTTTACACACTCAAAAATCAAACCTTATTTAATATTTTAATATATTTGTGAATTATTACTTTGATGTTTAGTTTTTAAAATTACTTCATATACTCTTTTGATAATTTTTTTATTAAATTTATTAATTTATGTTTATATTAAGTTTTTATAATATTAATAAATCTTATCTATAATTAATAAAATAAGATAAAAATTTTGATAAACTTAGCAAATAATGAGGTGAGCATGAGTTTAACGAGCACGATTGGATGTAGGATTGAACAAAGTTAAACTCGTGGATGTTTTACAAATAATGGGAGAGAAACAAGGGGCAACGTTAAAAGCGACTGCGTTTCCCTGAAATTCCTAACAGAATAACTAACATCCATTTTTCTTAGAAAGAAACAATCAGGATGTGAGAGAGAGGGAGAGGGAGAGAGAGAGAGGGAGAGGGAGAGGGAGAGGGAGAGGGAGAGGGAGAGGGAGAGGGAGAGAGAAATGGAAACGAGCAGTGAGAAAGAGGAGAGGAAAAGGAAAAATGCCGAGAAAGGGTTGAACCGGATGTCTCAGATCCGGTCGGCACGTCCACAATCCCAAGAACATCATCCCACTCCATCATCTACAGGTAACCTCTTTTGTTTGCTTAATGGCTTCTCATCTTTGGTGGATTTTCATTGGTACTTAGATCGATATTTGAGGTTTCTGTGAGTTTTGTAGTCTGGGTTCTTGTTTCTGATTCTTAGTTTTAGATTAATTGCATTGGAATCTTCACGTCAAAATTGTTCATGTATTATCTTAAATGCTAATCACTGAATCCTCAAGAACATGACATGAATACAGTGGGGGACCCTGCTTATAGGATTGGTAACATGTTTTCTGACAGATGTAAAGAAAGGAAGCTTCGATGCTCGAGATCGTAAGGTATTCTTCACAGACGATGATCATCAGTCACCGGAAACCAATCAATCTCATGATATTAGTGGTACGCAGTTTGTGCAATGCTTAATTCCTTCATGATGAAATTGACACCTTTGGTTTGGTCTAATATGTTTTGATGTTGCAAACGCCATATATATATATATAAGAGGTTGTTCTTGACTCTCTATACACCTACTTGTATATATTCTTCTTTGTTCAGATTCTGGTGATTGTTTCTCATTTTGATTCAAGTGTTGAACTGATGTGTTGAGTTATAGCTGTTTGTCGTTTCCTGTCCCTGGTCGTGTAGCTTTCCAAGAGCATAGCATTACTTTAACATGAACCGACTCATCGCTTGGTATCGATTACCACTGCAGGATTTGGTTTTATTATAACAGGTTTTTATTGCCAGTTTTAACTATTTCTGAAGACCTGTTTGAATTTTTTTTTTGGTTGCCAAGACTTGTTTGAAATTTTACAATTTTGAATGCTTCTGGTACAGTTTATGCCATGGTATATCTGTTGAAATTTTACAACTTAATACCAATTCCAATCATCTTTGGTTAGTTCATGGACTGAGGTTGAAACTTTTAATACATTTTCTTAGGTACACAACATTTTCATCAACCTTTCCCTAGTGAATCTTGTAGACCCTGGAATGACAACTCTGAAACGTTTTGCTTTGGAAAAAAAATCCATGAAAGTGACGAATTTCGAATTCGAAATATCAGTAGCATAATGGAACATTGATACCAATCCCAATCATCTTTAGTTAGTTCATGGACTGAGGTAGAAACTTTTAGTACATTCTCTTAGGTACAACATTGTCATCAACCTTTCCCCAATGAATCTTGAAGACCCTGGAATGACAACTCTGAAAAGTCCTGCTTTGGGGAAAAAGTTCCATGAAAGTGACGAATTTCAAATTCGAAATATCAATAGCATAAAAGGAATCTGTGATTTTTTTATGTTAACTGGAAGATGAATAACATCACACTTTCATTACTTTGATTTGAATTTTGCAGCTGCACCTGTGGGGCTGAGTGAAGCCTCTACTTCTAGTACACTTAAACAAGGTGGCATGCCTGAAATATCAAGTGCAAACACCCGAGATATTGGGAGCCAAGCTGAAATACTGAGCAAGGGGACCGACAAACACAAGACATCTGCACGTGCTGTAGGAGAATCACAGCCCGAGACATCATCGAAACGAAAAGCATCAACCAACACTGAATCAATCCAAAAAACAAGCAGGAATCAAGCTAACTTGTACTCTTCAAAACTACTGAATTCCTGCATTATAGCCTCTGTAACAACACGCGGTTTATGTGCCCTATTGATAGCATTTTGTGTACTTCTTTCTCATATTAATTTCCCCTTGCTTGGACTTAGTATAGGCACGGTCGATAGCAACGTATCCTCAAAGCCCTTTTACATAATCTTACTGACCGATTTCACCATTGTGCTCAGCCGACTGTTTCTCGGCAGGAAAGGAGTCTCTTTGGAGGTTGAGGAAGAGAAACCTGCAGCGTGTCAAGATGATAAAAAAAACTGGGATGCAACAGTTATGCTTTTGGAGAGAGGGTTGGTGGCCTATCGGACAATCCAAGCACTTTTCACAGATTTCAGCATTTATGCAGTGGTGGTCATTTGTGGCACTTCTCTACTGTTAACTTTTTCTTTTTTTTTTTGTTGTTGTTGCTAGAAGATACATTTTATTTCTTCTTCATTTTCAGCAAATGATGCTGAGAAAACAAATTTATTTATCGGAATTCAATGTTTTTTTTACAGCATTCAACTCAAGTTCATATTCTTCTTTCTGCTAATATCTTTGTCTCTCATTTGGCAGTCCTTGCATGGTACATTATAGAATCAGAAGGCTTCATTTTCACATCAGAGAACATCATTTAAGCTTTCTTCTCTTGAATCAAACGATCTCAGTGATTAAAGGAACAATTGTTATCCCTAGAAGGCTCAAGTTCGAGCACGACGCTTGTAGGAGTGTTTAAGCATTAATTGTCAAATGATTAAGAACCTTTCGAACAAATATTACACCTCGTAATCACTCCAGATTGAAAAAAAGCTTTCTTCTCTTTGTTTCAAAGTGTTTCGGAGAAAGAAAAGTTTCTGTGGCTGACCGTGAAAATGTATAAGATATCCTCTTTCTTCTCGTTGTAGCATATGATTGATTAAATTTTGTAGGTGGAATTTGTCAAAGACTATCATATAGGTTGGTTACAAGGTGACAATCCTGCAACCTACTGTGGCCAGTAATTAAGGATCAAGCCACTGCTCCGGTACTTGACAATTGAGTGTGCATTAAATGGAAGAAGGGGACCAAATGCAAGGATTTCTTCTGGACCACCTATTTATGGTATGATTGCTTTAAAGCTTTACAATTAGAAGGCAATGACTTAACATTTATTAGAATTGTGTGAATTTTGTGTTAATAAAGGGAAGGCAGAAAATTTTACACCAAGAGTGTGAAATTAAGAAGTTATTTTAAGAGGTGCGATGTTAAAATTGTGTGATGTAATATTAGAATATTGATAAAAAAAATATGAAGAAAATACTTAACTGTATAAAAATTTTAAAATTTTAAGAGGGTGAAACCTAATCTCATTCTCCAGTCAGCTGACATACATACACAACTGATGTAGTTAAAAGCTATGTTTCCAAATAAAATCTGTATTAGAAATTGAGGCTTTCAAGACAGTTTATTCACCTTTTGGTCAAGGGGGGTATCATGGTTTCAAGAATTCATAAATGCAGCCCTCAGATTTTGGTTGGATGAATTATGAACCTTAGAATCATGCATGTGTATATTTTCTTAGTGGATGTTTAGGCTCCACCGACAATTGTTCCATATATTATTGCATCAATTAATTTGACAAAAACCTGTTGCTCATATATCTAGGAATTCAGATTTCTGGTATGCACAGTAATTGCAGTAGACAATGATCTTATCTCTAAAACGGAAACCTGTTCCGGTGCTTTTTCCAAGATAGAAGGTGCATCACTGGGATTTGAATGTAAGTTTTACATAGTATAAGTATATATCCAACAAAATTCTGTTCAACTTTTTAAACATTTCTTTAAAAAAAAAAATAAACATTTTTATTGAAGCATCATATCCCATACAAAACAATTGGTATAATATAAAAAATACTCTTAATTTTCGATTAGATAGCATTTTGGTCCTTAATATTTTATTTTAGGGTAAAAGATCCCTAATGCTTAGTTAACTAGTAAATTTGACCCTTATTCTTTTTTAGCATGTTGCCCCCCTAATATTTCATTTGAAGAAAAAAAACCTTATTTGGGAGTGTTGACAGTTTATTAACTAATATTTTCATCTAAATAAGAGTCTTTTATGTAAAAAAAAAAAAACAGTTGGTCTAGAATGAGACACTAGATCCATTAAGCAAGGTCAGGGATTCGGATACCAATGGTTATACCAAAAAAATAATCTAAAAAAGAATAAATATAAAAAATAATTGTTTAATCAAATATTAAGATATTTTTCTTCATATCTCAAACAACAAATTAAACATCCAACTCAGACTGTCATAAAATTTTTTAATAGAAAAGAACGATTTTGGAACATAAGAAATTGTCATGTGACTATTTTGTATCTTTCAATAGCTGAGGACTTCAAAAAGCAACATCTTATAGTCGAAGGATCATTTTGTAACTTTTGATAATCAGAGGACTCAACAAACCAGTGTCCTATAGTCGAGGGACCATTTGTGTACTTTACCCTAAGAAAAATCAAAATATTTTATTTGAAATATTTATTGTGACATTTTTAATGTATTTCCAACTGTTTAATAAACCAATTTTAATATCGATCTCATTGTATATAATATTTCCACTTAAAACTAAGAGGTTGTTTGTTTACTTCAGAATGATTAAGCGCTGAATGATTCAAATATTAAATGATTCAGAGGCTTTGTATAAATTAGCTCTAAATGTGACATGTTGTTTGATAATGACTCTGAATCATTCAAAATGTATTCTGTGCTGAATCATTCAGCACTGTTTTGCTGAATCAGTCAACACTGAATCATTTAGAAGTACGAAACAAACGCGCTGAATGCTGAACGGTTCAGCATTCAACGCTAAATGATTCCATTAAGAGGTAAACAAACAGCCCTAAATAAAACAAAAAAGGAAATGCTCTTGAGATTCCTTTTGCTACAATGGGTTTGGTTCAACTTTTTCAAAGTTGAAAGTTTTCAGATAAAGATAAGGGGAAAAAACCATGGTTTTCAGAATCGGACGGTTAACGAACCGGTCATGCTATCGGTTTACTGGTTCAATCGGTCGATCGATCCGATCGGTCGGAAGAATCGGACGACGTCATAATTATTTAAAAAATTAAATAAAAATACCAAAAATATTTAATAAAAAATAATTTTTATATCACAAGTTATATTTAAAGCAAGTCATAACATATATAAGTTAAAAATCATAAAATCAAGTGAAACAAAATGATTCAAATTAACTACAACATAATATTTAAGGTAAAACATATTAAATAATAAATATAATTATATAACTATAATTAAAAAATAAATTTAGGGTTAAAAAAAGCATAACAAAATGATATTGTTTGGTTTAATTTTTTCTTTTAAAATAATCACACATGGCTAAGAAACATAGAAGAGCATCCCAAAAGTCTAAAGAGTAAAAATATTAGAACAAAACAATCTCACATTGCTAAGAAACATAGAAGCGCATCACAACTAACTTCTATAAATAATAGAAGTAATTTGACATTCAAAATCATGGAGCCTTTTAGTGAGCATTGAGTGAACTATTCTTTCACTTCAATCAAGCTCGAATTTTAGGCTTCAATCGAGCTTCTAAATTTTTTTTGAGTTTAAGCCTTTTTGAGTTCAAGTTTCAATATTATATTTTGAGTTTGAGTTGAACTTGATAATTTTTAGCTTGTGAGTTTGAGTTGAGTTGAGCTTACTTTTAAAGTTTTCAAGTTCGAGTCGAGCTCAGCAATACTCGAGTTCGACTTGGCTCGTTTAACAAACGACGTTGTTTGGTTTAATTTTTTTTAAAAACAAAAAAAAACAAAAATCCCGGTTTTTTCCCATTTTTTTCCGATTTTTAGCCGGTCCGGTTCGAACGGTTCAGCGGTTCTGGCCGGTTCACTAATAACGGTTCAACCGATTTAGATTGAACCGGACTAAACAATAGTTCCGATTGAACCGGCCGGTCCGGTCCGGTTTTCAAAACAGAGGAAAAAACCATTGTTATACGGGGAAAAAACAAGCAAAATATTGATGATGATTCTTTGCCTTTGGATATAACATACACATTTTATTAAAAAAAAAAGCAAAATAAAAGTCAAAGACACTCCATTTTCTCAGTTTTCTCAAACAGCCTTGAGGGAACAGCGAATCTAGCTAAAAAAGACCTTGCGAGATCATCAGGATCATTAGCAGACATCAAACCCTGATCAAAATTCTGTGCATAAGGATCGTAAGAGACATTACGTCGAGCACTTAATGAACTATCCAACAACTTATTTTCTCTCATCAACTTTCTCCATAGCATTCTCCGGTAAAAAGCCAGCTTTGATCTGATCACAAACATGTTGATCGAAAGCATCTTATTACACGGCCTTTTTGCATAGGCTGGGTTCAGCCTCTGGGTGCCCGAGTTGCACCATGCTCTGAGTTCCATGGTTCAGAAGAAAAGATAGATTTTTTGGCGGGGTTTTTGGATCTTGTTAAGGCAGAGGTGTAAACCGTAAAGCCAATGCGTCCATGCAGTAAGGTATTATATAACGGAACATGCTTCCAAAGTCAAATCATAGAATGTGCTAATTAGTGGTGGAGCTACAACATTGATATTCTAATTTTCTTTGATTTGTTACTTATTATAGTGATAGTATTCATCTTAAAATTTTTGTTGCCTACTCTTAAATCTGAGTTTTCTTCGATTAGTTACTTATTTTATGGATGGTATCTACCCTAAAATTTTGTTTGTACCAATCCCATTTAAAAATTTTATGTTATTAACATAAATATGCTCACTCTAAAAATTGTTTATGGATCCATCGGTGGTCCTATTGATGAATGTAAAGCGTGCGCTCTCCATGTATTGATTTTCTTTTTAAAATTGGGGATGGACATTTGATTTCAATTTAATTAATACAAGAGTCGGATTGAATTCAAGTTCAAGGTAAAAGATTTGGATTCAACTCAATCTAAGGTAATATTATAAATATCTATTATATATCTACAATTAACTGCAACAATACTCCACCCTTTATTAATTTTTCACAATTATATTCTTATTTATCCAAAAATTAATTGGATTTGGGAGTCAATTACAATCAAGGAAGGATGAGCACCCTTGCACTGCCCTTTCGGTACCAACTTGATTACCTGGTCATCTTAATTGCAAAAAGTGAAATTTAAATTTAAATGTTCGATCCAAATCACTTACCTTTGACGAATTTTGATATTTTAAAATTGCATAAAAATATACAATTAGTGTTAAATAGAAAGAAATAAATAATAAAAATACTGCAAAACAAAAAAATGGATTAGGGTACCAATTTTTAAAAATATAAAAGTAAATTAAAAGGGCTAAATTGATTTAATTCGAAATTCAAAGGCAAAATTACAATTAGTGACCAAAATGAACTACGCTTCAAAACTTCAGAGACTGCAAAAATAATTTAAAATTTTTATACAGAGATCCCCTTATAAATAGCCC